CGCCACCCCTCGGCACCCCTCGGCGTCAGAGCCCGCCGCTCCTGCCTTGCGCACTCAGCGCTTGGCTTTGAACGGTCACGAGGAGAGGAGCAGAGACGGCGGGATGAGGGCTGGAAGAAAGAATAAAAATCGCAGAGTAAAAAAAAAAAGTGCAAGGGTTCCCACAGCAGCTGAAGCCTCGTTATCCTTGGCAGTGGATTATTTTTTACATTAATAAAAACTGGCTGTGGTGGCACAGCCTCTTTGTTTTAAAACTCTGCCCTTGTAACAAAACATAAGGACTTTTATTATTAAATGCTCTTTATTTTTATCTACATCCCATTATTGCATAAAGATCACATCTTTTTAAATATAATAAAGCTATCAAATGGGTAAACCTCATCACCTTCCCTCCTCACACCCAGACAAGGAAAAGAAACTAACAGGCTGCTTCTGGGTTGTTTAGGCTTTGAGAACATAATCACGTTTCTGGTTTGAACAACGGCAGAACTGGCTGATATGGTCACAGTTTCACCTGTGCACAAATCTTTAGGAAAGCTTTGTAAAAGGCAAGTGTGCAACAAACCACTGGACTTTTGCATCCTCAGTCATTTGCTGAAACATTTTATGTGTTCAAGTTAATACAAGTTAAAATTTTGCATGAACTTCATCTTAACACCTCACTGAATTTCCATGAAGTTTTAAAGGCCCAGTTCTAGGTCTTCCAGTTCCTGAAGGAGAGCAGTTTCTTTCTGAATCTTCTCCAACTAGAACAAATAAGTACAAGATGTCATAGATGTATGCAGCTTATGTAACTTCCATTTTAAAATAAGCTACATCTTAACGGTACCTGATTCTTCTCTAGCTGTTTGCCAGCAGCTGCTTGTTCTTTCAGCTGCTCAATTGCTTTTAGTTTCTGTAAAACAAAACAAAATACCCCACACGAATACAAAGATATTGATGAACCAAGAACAAAAAAAACCAGTCTTAGAAGTTCCAGCACTTGCAATTGCCTGATTTACCAGGAGGCAGGTCTCAATAAGGAAGGCACGTTTCATTTAAGCATCACCAGATGCTCAATCCAGAACCTCCCACCAATAAAAGACATTTCTTTCAAGAACAAAACTTAGAGGATAGAAGCACTTCCTAGTTTCCAGAACATAAACACCATTAATTACCTCCCTGAAGGGCTAGATCCAAATTCAAAAATACCCCTCCACTATACTATCCCTCCTCACCACACATTTTCCTCGGAAAGCCTGGAATATTAATCCCATCAGAGACCATGAAAAGCTGGAAGCAGCCAGGAGAAAAAAGCCCTGATGGGTTATGCAGAAATGGGAGATTCTCTAGCCTGAACCGAACAACTCCCACTCTGAAATTATTTAATCAAGAATTTCTAGAATTGGCAGTGAACTTAGGCCTCATACATTCAGCAGTTAGGGAAGAAACTGAAACCACACAGCATGGTCCCCTTCTCAGATCCAGCATCTAGTAAACAGGCAGCCCACACACCTGCTTTCTGAGCATTAACACCTTTAAGCTACCCCGGCCCCTTGGCTGTGTAAGCTGCAACAGTATGTGTAATAGGAGACTGGAACAACCTGGCTGAGGCTTCTGCCACCTCTGATGTGGTCTTTAGGAGTCTGGCAGGCATTGACTTCTATTGTTCTACCAGATGGAAAAGCAAAGGAAGCTGGTTTACAAGTTCAGAAATTACCATCTATGTAAATGCCAAGCTCAAGTCACCCTATAATCAGACTCAATCTTACAGACCACCTCTGTAGGTAAATTTACTGTTTGTTAGAAAAAAGAAATCCCCCCACCTTTTTTAAATTCTTTATCTTCTTGTCAACTTCAGGATCTCCTGATGTAACGGCAGGCACAACACTCCGTGGTGCATTCTGTGATGCTGAGGACTGTGTAGAATCATGGTTTGCATCAGCTTTTGCCTCCTGTAGACAAATAAACTAAACCCATTATCTAGAAAATACTTTTGATTACAAAGTGACTGAGAAATTTCTTTAATCATTTTGAGGAATCCATTTAATATTTCTTCTTTCACTAGTTTTCTGCTGTACTCCAAAATTTGTGACTTGCTTTCATGTACTGCATTACCTATATATATGCTTTCCACAGAAAAAGGGTTATCTGTAACAACTCACATACTGTTTCTTGTTTAATTCCTACTTCCTCAAGACACCAACCATACACTGCATAGGGAAATGTCAGTAAGAATGACAGGACAAACACATACACAAATATTTTATAAAGTAGACTGGTGGGTTATTGTCTCTGAAGCAAAAGAAAGGGCTCAAAACCAGTCCAAGAAATTAAAATAATTTAAAGGAAATTGTTGCTTCCCAAGTTTGTAGAAATTTTAAGGCTAATACCAAAAGCTGATTCTTATTTACCTAGCCAAAGAACAGCAAGCAAAGAGGTGACACAGAACAGGCTGTCTTTGGTCTGCCCTGATAACATGCCTCAGTCCTGACCTGCTGGGGCACACGTCGAAGCAGCAAACCTGTTCTTACCTCTCACCAGCACTGAAAAACACTATGCAGACTGTATGAGGGTAAGAAGTCAGAACGACTTAGTCTTAACATTGATTTCAGCTAACATGCACAGCAACTAACCAAAGGTGTTATTTCTATCCTTTTGTACCTGCTTTAGTCCAATTAAAAAGTCTACCACCCTCCACACAACTTGGCACATGCAAGATGTTGAGGGCTCTCTGTGCCACCGACAGTCACTGTGCTCTGAGACTGACTGTGAAAACTAATTAACGTTATCCTCAAAAGAACTACTTCTGCAGTACCTGTTTAGCAGCTTTCTTGGCTTCATGTTTCCTTTGATTTTTGAGAGCTGTTTTAGAGAGTGGCTTATCGCTGCTTCCTGACTGTGGTTTCATGTTTTGAGGTGGCTCCTCCTCATGCTGCAGGATATGCAAAATTAACAGTTAACAAAACATGTACTCCATGTTGGCAAGTGTGTTGGTACAAAAAACCTAACAGTGAACATGCAAACCTACTTAAGTCAATACTGTATGCAAAGATGAACCATAAAGGAAGAAGGAAAAAGAAAGAAAGAAATAAAAGAGGGGAAAAAAGGTATGTGCCTTTTCGAACAGCAGAAGGCAGGGTGAAAAGGTTTTCAAACTCACCTATTTTCAAGTTTGGATGGTACTACTCTGTATATCCTAAAGATTTAATGGATTTCTGATGAAATAACAAAATCAGCATTTTTCCTATTTTTTTGAAGGGGAGAGAAATAAAAATGAAAGAGGAATAAACTAGCACAAAATGCATGACGGATTTTGCATTTTGCTTTTGTTGTCACTAGGAGTCTGAGTTAAAAAGTTGTCAAGTAAGGATAAATGGGTTGCTGGGAAGTGTGTGAAAAGAAGAGGCTGGTTAGCCCTTTCGGGTTTTTTTAAGATAACTCTTAATTGAGGATTGGTTTAATGCATATGACAAGATTTCTTGCCCATTTAAGAAAACAGAATCATTTTATTTAACAGCTCTTTTCTCTACTACCTCTACTTGTTGATTATTTGCAAAATCAGACATTAGCCTCACAAGCCAAGCAGCAGTCCCTCCTTCAAAAGCACAGGGCTCAAAACAAAAGCTCTCTAAGACTTAAACATCAAGGGTACAATTGTTAAAATGTAATTAGTGGCTACTCAGCCTACTTTGAAAAAAAACCAGCTTTGAAAAGCAGCTAATTAGACAAGTAGGTCATTATACTGAAACCTGTTTGAACTACATACAGCTGACTTGCTAACAAGCAAATCTCTTTCTGGCAAGTAAGTTTACCTTACAAAAAAAAAAAAAAAAAAAAAAAAAAAAAGGCACTGTTGGAAGGACAGTCAGCCACCTGTCCAGCTGGGTTTAGACTGGTAACACTAAGTCAGGCCACCCAAATCACAGGCTTCTATCTAGAGTGCACAATTTCATCGCAAAACAAATTTGCAGTTTATTGTTCTCTATGTTGTAGAGAGTGGTTTTAAAGTTTGCAGACAACTGTGTAAAAGGACAATATTTGGACCAAAGACATTTCAGTTTTCTAGCAAAGACTCTTGAAAACAGTAAGCAAAATATCAAAGAAGATTATCAAGAGAACGTCCCGTAAAACAGACAACACTACTGTCAGTCGAACTGTTCTTCTCACATCCCTAATTAAAAATACAGACAAATTGGAGGCCAAGTTTCAAAGACAGGCAAAGCAATGAAGCAGAAGTTTGGTTCATACATGACACTGTCTACTTACGAGCTTGGAACTTGTTACAGGTTTGTTTCTCAGGGCTGGAGGCCTGTACGCTTGGGCAGGCTTTGGCTCAGCACTGGGCAATTCACTAGGAACGGCCTGGTATTTTACTGTTTTCGCTGGGAACACCCCATCCAAGAAGGGCTGCCAGGAAACTTGCCACATTTCTTCGTTTGATGGAACTTCGTGGTTATGTAGTAGAGAGCCAGTGTAGTGCCATATCTTGTACCCATTACTGACACGCAGCCTGGGAGCACATGTTGCGGTTACAATATGTTCCCCATCAGGACACCAAGCAAAGTACGTGGAATCCGAGGCTACTGGTTTGGAAATGAGTTTGTAGTTTTTAACGTCCCACACTTCCATCTGTCCCCTGAGATTCCCAAATCCTGCTAGCACTAGGATGTGTCCATGGGGGCTGTAGTAGGCAGCATTGCGAGGACCGGTTCCAAAATCAAACACAGGGTCACATTTCAGATTAAAAACTGTTGCTTTGGCAGGCATAAAACCATACACAGCACAGAACTCAATCGAATTGGGGTTCCAAACAACATCATAAATAGGACCATTTTTTGCTAAAGGAAAAGGAAAAAAGGCAACTGTTGTCAGGGGATTGTATTTTTTCAGTGCAAGCAAAAATAAGATCAGTAGCGACTCATAACGTTGTGCTTTGCTAAAATGCTGTGATCTAATTATTGACAGTAAAAATGAATTCTGATGATGACAGACGTAAAACCAACATTTTATCTTCTGATAATTTTAGTTAAAGTGTGCAACAATAACTGCAGCCATTCCAAATTACCTCTGCAGGCTCAGCATCAGCACTTTAACAGTAATCACACTTTTTTCATGTAAAAAATTCCTGTATTATTTTCCTTCATTATTCAAGTATGACCTCTCAGGACCTTCTCAAACTGTCCCACTGGAAACCTGCAAAACCAGGAGTTTTATACCAGCTGGGTACTAGTTCCTCTTTTTCTTAATCTAAGAAATACTGCATAACTCAGCTTTGTAGAGCTAAGTAATACTAACATAAGTTACCTCTGGACCATGCTCCTGCATGGCATTTTAAAAGACTGATTTTAAAGCAAGAGACCACACAAAAACTGCTTTTACACATAATGATTAAAACTTGATATTGTTAGAAGCTATTCTGGTGTTTAGAAGATATGGGGTTACTGAAGAATGAAGAATTAGTGATGGAAACTCATCTAAAATATACAGGGGTAAATAAAAAGCGTAAATCATTAAACTTTTCAGAATCTGGATATCTTTATCTGTATTTCAGATGTCATGTGCACTACTGAAAATTCTCAAATCCAGACACTGACCCAAAATACCAACTGATTTAAATCGTCCATTCCTGTAGTTATTCTAAGGCCTCATTACAGTCCAGTTTCTAAAGATATAATCGCACTGTCTGTTGGGTTTTTAGGTGGCATTAATCAAATGCAACTGCAGAGACAGAGGTCTGACAGAAAATTCTGTTCCTGCATGTTTCATGACAGCAGGCAGCTGGAGAGATGAGGGTAGCTTTATACAAGTTCAATAGCTAAGGCAAAGGCTGCGGCATGAGTTTGGATTAGTCAAAACCAAAAAACTCTCTACAAATGCTGATGTGAAAAAAGCTTCAAATCTGGACCTTAAATGCAAACAGAAGATACAAATCTACAGGAAATGAGGCACCACTTGCTCAGAGTGCCTACCACTTGTTTTTGTTGGGGGAAAAAAAAATGTTTTACAAAACAGAATCAGTTTAGGTTTTTCCTTGAAAAGGAAAAACTAAATGAAATGAAAATCAATTATAAACTTCCTATTAATACAGATGCATTGGAAATAAATAACTTCAAAGGGCAAAGAAGGTTTTAAGAAGCATGTAATTAAACAACTAGTGTTCTAAATCCAGGAAACTGCTCCAGAGAGATTCTAGATACTGAGTTGTAATCCTGATAATTTTTCCCAAGTGAAGTTAGCAACAAAGGGAAATGGGACACAGTACATGTTCGCATGCTCTTGTCCTCATGGGGGACTTCAACC